GATCAGCTTTACAGCACGTACCTGTTACAACTATTGATAGGATTAATGTACATGATAAAACATTGCTTTTTGTATTTTGCATACGGGGGTCCCATCCCATTTAGCATCTCATACAAAAGAAGGGTGTTGGTACCAAAGCTTAGGGGTGTACATTATCACTTCTTCAACAAGCAAAGATCCTAGAATTGAAAGATGTTCCTTGACTCTCACTGATAGCCGGTTTGGGTCTGTGGTCAGCACATAAAAGCACACAAGATCTAGATGCTACCAAAACACAGGACCAGCAGATGATTCTACCCTAAGATGAGAGATGTATTCTGAGTGTTCTTTGTTCCTCGTATTTTAATGGATGTATGATCCATTAATTGGGTCTTCATACCAGCTGAAGAGTGTCTGCCTCAAATGGAGGGTTTTTCCCACTTACTTCTGGTTAGATTTGATATTGAGTCTGTGCCAAGAAAGAAGCATAGAATTAAGAAGACTTCATCATCTTGCTTTCCCCTCCACCCTCACACTTTTCTTTTAAGGGATATTACAAAACCCCAAGGGGACTTAGGTCTGACGCCCTTCTCTCCATGACAGGTTTGTAACCAGATTTATCGACTTGGATGGCCTGTCATGTATTCTCAACTTTCTGAAGACCATGGATTACGAGACCTCAGAGTCTCGGATACATACCTCTCTCATCGGATGCATAAAGGCGCTAATGAACAACTCTCAAGGCCGGGCTCATGTCCTGGCTCATTCTGAGAGTATCAATGTCATTGCTCAGAGTCTGAGCACGGAGAACATTAAGACAAAGGTGGCCGTGCTGGAGATCCTGGGCGCCGTGTGCCTGGTTCCTGGGGGCCACAAGCAGGTGCTGCAGGCCATGCTGCACTACCAGAAGTTCGCCAGTGAGAGGACCCGCTTCCAGGTGGGTGCGCCCGGCCCATCATCATTCACCCCTTCTTTAATTCTGCTTCAGCAGGTGCTTTTTCTGGCCCAAACGAGTGAACACGTTACTTGAGACTTCCCCCTCCGGTGATTACTCTCACTGTGACTTAAAGCATTCCCTCCCTCTTAGGTCTAAGTACCAGCAAATAGGATATACTTTTTACAGTTGATCAATCTGGAGTTTTAGATGTGCTGAACTTGAAAAGGTGGCCTTGTACCCTACATGTTATGCAGCATATGTGTTTTGAGTCCTCCAAATGGGCCATTCTCTGAAAATTGTACACGGTTGCCATTCTTGATTTGAATCTCAAAGTGAATAATGAGATCATGTTACTATTTTTACTCACATGTAAAAAGCAAGCAGAGGTAATGAAGCAGGCTTTTGTACTTGCTATATGTGCATATGTGAACATATATAAGGACTTTGAAAGTAGAATTTTTAGGACTAATCTTAAGTGGAAACAAATTGGTGTAATTCTGACTAAAAAAATCAGTTTAGAAGTTAACTTCTGGCAAAGCACAGAGGCTCATAATCCCGGCACTTTGGGAGGCTGAGATGGGGAGATTGCTTGAGGCCCAGAGTTCAAAAGCCTGGACAATATAGCAAAACCTTTTCTCTACAAAAGCATAAAAAATATATTAGCTGGTGTTCCCTGGCATCTCCACCAAAACCAAACAAACTATATATATTGGGCCGGGTGGCATGTGCCTGTAATAAGGTTCATGTCACCTACTTGGGTCACTGAGGCAAGAGGATCACTTACACCCAGGAGTTTGAGGTTGTAATGAGCTATGGTCATACCATCACCAAGCAATACAGCAAGATTCTCTAAAAAAAAAAAAAATAGAAGTTAACTTCTGAACATAAAAAAAAAAATTCATGAAATGAGCATAGGGTAGTCATGATTCAGTCCTTTGCCTTTATTTTTGTGTCCTGGATAGACATTAATTAATGACTTGGATAAGAGCACCGGGCGGTATCGAGATGAAGTGAGCCTCAAGACGGCCATCATGTCCTTCATCAACGCGGTGCTGAGCCAAGGCGCAGGCGTGGTAAGGGCCTCTGGACTGGGACTTTGAAAATGTATCATTTAAGAATAACTTTTTTAAATGAACCTATGTAATCCATGGAACATAAATGTGTATTTTATTACTCTTTGACTTTCAGGAGAGCTTGGACTTCCGACTTCATCTTCGCTATGAATTTCTGATGTTAGGAATTCAACCTGTAATAGACAAATTGAGGGAACATGAGAATTCAACCTTAGATAGGTGAGTTAGGCCGTGTGCTCTGAGTGGTTAGGCTCTCTCCACATGGGCAGCTCAGCGCCTCCCCAGCGCCAGCCTGCATGTGGGCTGCCTGGGACCAGTCTTAGCCTCGGGAGCTTACACAGGATGCTAGTTCAGCTGGTGATGTCATCATGGTAAGAGTGGCCTCTGAAAGAATCAGCCTGTGTGGAGAGAACTGAGTGTGGGTGTGAGTATCAGACCTGAATCTGTAACCTGTCCTAGTCCTGCCTCTTATTTCCTCTTTATCCTGGCCAAATTCCTTAATTTTCTTGAACCTTACTATTTTTATACCTATAAAAACAGTAATGGTGGTGGTGGTGGTGTTGATGACAATTACCTTTCCCGTCTCTGTGAAAGCTGAGCATAAGGCCTCTGGAGGTTTACCACCTGTGCTGGGCGGGTAGACACTGACTCCCACTGCCTGTTGATTTGCCCTCATTTGCAATCCTTTTGCTGCCTCTAAGACAGGCATCCTCAAACTGGGACCCGTGGTCCACATGCGGCCCGCCTAGGACATTTATCCTGCCCGCTGGGTGTTTTTAACACCTCTGCTTGTCCTGCTTAGCAGCTGACTCATCCTGGGGCCCACAGTCCGGCCCTCCAACGGTCTGGGGGATAGTGAACTGGCTTCTTGTTTAAAATGTTTGAGAACCCCTGCTCCAAGATTCCCCTATAAGCTTTCAGACCTTTCTTCTGCCGCTCCTCCCCTCATTCCATTCACCCCGGCTGGTCCTTCTCCCTGACATTCTGTGAGTACAACACAAGCCTGGTTCTTCTCCTTGACATTCTGTGAGCACATCACAGGTCCTCGTGCCACAGGGCCTTTGCACTTGCACTTGCTGTGTTCTCAGCATCAACAGATCTTTCACAGATGGGCAAGTGGCTTGTTCCCTGGTCTCTGCAGAGAGGCCTTTTCTAACTGCTGTGTGGACACTGTTCACCTTTCCTCACATCATTCTCCCTTTCCTT